CACCGAGCCACACAGTGCTACAGCACAGTGAATTGTGGTGCGTGTGAAAACATCCACATCAGCATATGTGTGAGGGTGTCATTAACAATCAGTTGCCCTCCGCCCTATAGCAGAAGTACTGCTACAGGGCGTCACAGCTGTGCAAAATCATATATATCTCCATATCTATATATAAATATCATATCTCCATATCTATCTATCTATCTATCTCCATATCTATATATATATATATATATATATATATATATATATATATATATATATATATATATATATATATATATACACACACACATATACACACGTGATTTGCATTTCAGGGTAGGAGGTGAGCGTGCACGTCCTACCCGTGCCGCTATTGGTGGCTGGGGATATCAATCACCGAGTCCTAACTGGGACTCTTCTGATCGTCGGCAGGGCTGAGAGGGGAGAACACAGGTCTCTTTCCTGTCAGCATGGACATGCTGCTTTGTATCTCTCTGTACAGCAGATACAAAGCAGCATTTCTCCCTAGTAAAACACAACACAGCACACAAAGTGAAACAGCACAGTTTACCCTTTGATCGACCCAGATGTTAACCCCTTCCTGCCCAGTGCCATTAGTACAGTGCCAATGCTTTTTATTAGCACTGATCACTGTATTAGTGTCACTGGGGATGTCAGTGGCTGTTAGTTCCCACCCAGTGTCAGAATGCCCGCCACAGTCCTGCTATAAGTCGCTGATCGCCACCATTACTATATATATATATATATATATATATATATATATATATATATATATATATATATAATTCCAGTATATATACCGCCATTTGCAGACTCTATAACCTTCAAGTAAAACAATTAATATACACGTATTGTGATTTTTAAATTTATGAAGAAATTTGTTTTTTTTCTATTTTTTTTGTTTTATAGGAAAAATAGTGTTTTTTTTTCAAAGAAGTCTTTTGTTTTTAGCGCAAAAAAACCCCCCAAAAAACGCAGAAGTGATCAAATACCACTGAAAGAAAGCTCTATTTGTGGGGCAAAAAAGGACATAAATTTCATTTGGTTGCAGCGTTGCATGACCATGCAATTGTCAGTTAAAGTAAAGCAGCGCTGTATCGTAAAAAATGGCCTGGTCAGGAAGGCAGGTAAATCCTCTGGAGGGAAAGTGGTTAATGGCACTGCTGTGTATCCGCTAAAGGGCAACACATTTCTGTGGTGTCAAGAAAGTGATTTTGCACTGTTCCCAACATGCACAAATGTGAACATAGGCAAAATGTCTCAATTACATAGTGGTCAGTGTATATATTCTCACTACATTGGGGCAGGGTGTAGAATCCTCTCTTTCACACTAGTTGTCAGTGTAAATGTTTCCCTTACATTGTGGTCACTGTGAATGCTCCTATTACATTAGTAGTCAGTGTAAATCCCTTTACATTGGTGGCCAGTGTAGAAACTCCTCTTTATACTGGTAGTCGGTAAAAAAAATCCTAACTCCCTTACAATGGTGGTCCATGTAGAAGCCCCCCCTTAAACTAGTTGTCAGTGTAAATTCCCCCTCACATGGCTGGCTAGTATAGGAATTTATTGGTTGTTGGTGTAAAATTCCTCATTATATTGGTGGTCAGTGTAAATTCTTGTACATCGGAGTGTAAATTCTTTATCACATTGGTGGTCAGTGCAAATTCCACATTACAATGGTGGTCAGTGTAAATTTCTCTTTACATTGGTTATAAGTGCAGAATTGCCCTTACACTGGTGGTCTGTGTAAATCCCCCTTTATATTGCTCATCAGTGTAAATCCCCATTTATATTGCCCCCTAATGTTGGCGGTCAGTGTAGAAATGTCACCTCCCATCCAGCACTGCCACTAATCCCATCCCCCCTAAGCACTCCTACTGATCAAATCCCCCCACCAGCACGGTCATTCATCCCATCCCCCCTAAGCACTCCCACTGATCAAATCCCCCCACCAGCACTGTCACTCATCCCATCCCCCCTAGGCACTCCCACTGATCAAATCCCCCCCCACCAGCACTGTCACTCATCCCATCCCCCCTAGGCACTCCCACTGATCAAATCCCCCCACCCAGCACTGTCACTCATCCCATCCCCCCAGCACTGCCACTGATCCCAGGATCCCTAGGATTTTTCTGTCTATTGGTGGGTCCCCTCACCTTCTCAGTACATGGTGTGCAGGCAGGGAGAAGATAATGTTCTGTAACCTTCAGAAACCAATCAGTGAGCGGTAATGACATGCAGTAACCTCTAGCAACCAATCAGTGAGCGGTAATGACGTGCAGTAACCTCTAGCAACCAGTGAATAGTAGTGATCTGCTGTCATTTCTGTCAACCAATCCATGAGCAAGAATGATGTGCAGTAACATCTAGTTGCCAATCAGTGAGCGGTAATGATATGCAGTAACCTCTAGAAACCAGTAATGATGTGCAGTAACCTCTAGAAGCCAATCAGCAAGTGGTAAGGATGTGCAGTAACCATGAGAAACCAATCAGTGAACAGTAATGATGTGCAGTAAAATCTAGCAACCAATGAGCAGTAAGGATGTGCAGCAACCTCTAGCAACCAATCAGCGAGCAGAAATCATGTGCTGTAACCTCCAGAAACTTATCAGTGAGCTGTAACCTCCAGCAACCAGTCAGTGAGCGGTAATGATATGCTGTAACCTCCAGCAACCAATCACAATCACTGCCTGATCTGCTGCAGTAAACTGATTTGGATTCTAGCCATTTATTGTATGTCTCAGAGCAGGTGGAGAGCAAATCTGCATCGGGGGACCAATTAATATTAAAGGGGGCTCTGGATCTGGCCACAGAGCAGGAGTATCCGCGGTTTCCACGTGGTTTAACCTCAGTTTTAAGCCCCGTTCAAATCTCCCGATCCCTAATCGTGGCTGAACTTGCGACGCGTTTTTGGGTGCCACTTGAGTCTGTCTTCAACGCAATTGCGGCAAAACAAGAATTTTAAAAACGTGCCATGCTTGCCATTAAAAATGGAGCACGACAAAGGCGCATAGGGAAGCCCATGAAGTGAGTAGGCTGCACCATATGTGACATTCAAAATCATATGCAAAACGCCACAAAATGGCGAGCAGGTCCCCGCTACAACAGTGTGCAGCATTAGCGGTCCTAGAGACATCTGCGTGATTTCTGAAAGTGCTGCATCTGTAGTGCAATTTCAGAAAATGCAGCAGAACATGCGGCCTAATAAAAGTCTATGAGATTGCAGCGCAGACACCACAGATACAGCAGCCCTGCAGCCAAGTGTGAACCAGGCCTGATAAACAGGATATGTGATTTTCCAGAGCTCCAGTGTGACCAGGCCACAAACGTGGTATTTTTCCCGGTATTGATTAACCCCAACATGTACTGTGACCCCGCCATCAGACACACGCAAGAAAAATAATGCATTTACTCATCTTTAACGCATGCGTTATAACGATCGTTATTGTAAGGGTCACTGCTGACAGAAGAATGACCATAGGCAATACCGGCCGTTAAGGCTGAGTGCGGAGCCACCATCACCTCGGGGTCACGTGTTTTCCCCTCCTGGCCACATAGAAACATCACATGCATAGGACGGACTATGAAGGCGCCGCTGGACATGAAGACAATTACCTCGGAATAACCGGACCTCTCCGATCACACCAACGAATGGCGCTCACAATGCTCCGTAGGAGGCGGGGTCACCGCGCACGCGCAGCCGGCTCCTCCTCGGCCACCTCCCTCGCAGCTACCAAAGTCTACACACAACACACAGCCGGCCCGAGAACACACACACTCTGGAGTCCGGGCGTATGACGTCTACAGAGACACACCAATATTGATCGCACACGGCTCCCGTACCCAAGTGGGCGGAAATGCAGCTAACATCACATCCGGGTCGCCCGGCTCAGGGCGGAAATATGATTAAAGGGGCAGTGCTGACATCTCTAAATGGGTGTACAAAGCAACCCTATGTATGAGGACAGGTGGTAGAGATACGAATATGTTCTCAGTTCTCTCTACTTTCATGGATATACCAAAAAAAGCACTGCTATGAGATTCTTCTACCCCAGAAAAGCTGCCTCTGAAGACAAAGGCTACGTTCACACTAGCGTTGTGTGCAGGTGGCAGAGAGGCATTTGGGAAGCATTTTTACCGCTTCCCAAATGCCTCGGACAATTCTGCACATTGCAGCACATGGTGCTGTTCTAAGGGGAGCGTTAATGTCGCGGCAAAACGGACACCTCTGGTCGAGTCAGGAGGCGTTGAAGCCTCCTATTCTATTCTATGGTGCCGCTCCGCAAACGCCCGGCCGGCATTTGCGGGGCGTTTGCAGAGCGGTAACACTATTTAAATTTCATTATAGGTGTTTGTGGGGCGTTTTTAACGCTCGGCAAACGCCTAGCAACCTCCGCTAAACCGCGCATGCGGCGTTTGCCGAGCGTTAAAAAACACTCGGCAAACGCCAGACCAATGGTTGTCAAATGCTATAGGGGCATTTGGCAAGCGTTGGTAAAACAGTCAAGTGTGAACGAGCCCAAAGGAAGGCTGGAGATGACAACAAACTGCAGCTTAGACCAAAGTTAACCACTTGACCCCCAGAGGATTTACCCCCCTCCTGACCAGGCCATATTTTGTGGTACAGTGCTGCGTTACTTTACTTGACAATCGTGCGGTCATGCAACACCATTAAATTTGTAATTTTTTCCCCAAAAAATTGAGCTTTCTTTCAGTGGTATTTGATAGCCTCTGCGTTTTTTATTTTTTGTGCTATTTAAATTTTTTTTTTTTTTTTTTTAAATATATTTTTGACTTTTTGCTATAAAACATCCAGTAAAAAAATCAAATTTCATCATAAATTTAGGCCAAAATGTATTTTGCTACATGTCTTTGCTAAACAAAATTCCAACACATGAAAATTAATTGGTTTACAAAGTTCTAGTGTTTACAAATGGCGGTGTATACTGGAATGTTTTTATTTATTTTTACTAGTAATGGCTGCGATCAGTAACTTATAGCGGGACTGCGGCAGGCACTCTGACACTGGGGGGAACTGACTTGGTGTCAGTGACACCAAGTCACTAAAAACAAAAAGCAGACACTGTACTAATGGCACTGGGCAGGAACAGGTCAACATGAAGGGCGATCAAAGGGGTAACTGTGCTGTTTCACTGTAATCGCATTGCGTTGGATGGCTGTATTGCGCACAGCCATCCAAAGCAGTGTGCTTGAGCTGACAGGGAGAACTGTATTTACATAGTTCTCCCCGTCAGAGATGCTCGGCATCACTGGGTGTCGGTGAGTAATCATCAGCTGGGACCCGATGATTGACAGCCGCAAATGGCAGAACATGTAGGGCACATGCGCCCCATACCCGGAAATGCAAAATCACGTGTATATATGTGATTTTGCGCACCCGTGCCGCCCTGTAGGAGTATATCTGCTATAGGGTGGTCAGGAAGCAGTTAAGGACTTTTTATTTATTTATTTATTTGGATTTAACCACTTGCCCTCCTGAGGATTTATCCCCCTTTCTGATCAGGCCATTTTTTTGCTGTTCAGCTCTGCGCTATTTCAACTGGTAATTGCGCAGTCATGCAATGCTGAACCCAAACTAAATTTATGTCCTTTTTTTCACACAAATAGAGCTTTCTTTTGGTAGTATTTGATCACTTCTGCAGTTTTCAAAATTTTGAAAAACAATATTTTTCAATTTTGGTTATCAAATACTGTGTATCCAATAAACTCAAAGTTAGTCATACATTTAGGCTAAAATTTATTCTGCTACATGTCATGGTAAAAAAAAAAACACAGCTTTTACTTTCTGACTGCCGATCACATTTCTTGAGGTGCTAAAATGCCAGGGCAGCACAACCCCTCCCCCCCAAATTACCGTTTTTGGAAAGTAGACACCCCAAGGATTTTGCAGAGAGGCATGTTAAGTCCACGGAACATATCATTTTTTGCCACAAATATTTTGAATATGACAATTTTTTTTATTTTTACAGTAAGTTGTCACTTTAATGATATATTGCTCATGCAGGCTATGGGTATATGTGGAAAAACACCCCAAAACACAATTCTTCTACTGCTCCCGAGTTTGGGGATACCACATGTGACAGACTTTTTGGTAGCCTAGCTACATACAAGCCCCCAATATCCAATGACCACCTCCAGGCTTGCAAAGGGCATATTCCTCATATCTCTTCCCCACTACCTATCACAGTTTCGGAGGTTGTAAAATACCAGGATAGTACAAAACACCCCCCCCCCCCCCCCCCAAATGACCCCTTTTTGGAAACTGGACACCCCAAGGAATTTGATAAGAGGCATGGTGAGTATTTTACAGATATTTTTGTCACATGGTTTCTTCATTTTCCAAAAACGTGACAGCAAATGAGATCTGCAAAACACTCACCATGCCTCTTAGCAATCACCTTGGAGTGTCTACTCTCCAAAAATGGGTCATTTCTACTCTTCTGGTATTTCAGGGCCAACATTAGAAGCTTATGCCACACATCACCCACTCTTGAAGACCAAAAACATTTTCTGACACTTTTTGTTCACTTTAAAAAAACAGTTTTTTTGCTAAAAAAATTACTATGAACCCCCAAACATTATATATGTTTTTAAAGCAGAGGCCATAGAGAATAAATGGTGGGTATTGAAATATTTTGTCACACAGTATTTGTGCAATTTTTCAAAAGCAAATCGTTTGGGAGAAATACACTTTTTAGAATTTTAATGTACAAAATCACAATATACTGTATTTTTTGCTCCATAAGACGCACTTTTTTCCCCCCACAAAAGGGGGGGGAAATGTCAGTGCGTCTTATGAAGCGAATATGGAGCGGCCGGTCCGATATTTCCACCGCCGCCGTGTCAGAATACCGGGCCTCAGCTCTGCAGCGGGACCTTACCTGTTCCTCTATCCAACGGCGCGCTGTCTTCCCAGGTTCTGTAGTGTGGGCACTCGGCTTGACAGCCGGGTGCCAAGTGCGCATGTGCAAGAAACGGTGCTGTTTGTGAATGGTAAGGTGGCACCTGGGACACATGACAGGTCCCAGAAGCCGCCGGACCAATCACAAAGCGCAGCGCTTCTCGCTCGGCACCCGGCTGTCAAGCCGAGCGCCCACACTACAGAAGCCGGGAAGACAGCGTGCGGCTGGATAGAGGAGCAGGTAAGGTCCCGCTGCAGAGCGGACACTAACTAAAGAACAACTCCACGGAAGTAAGAGCGGGTACCTGTCAAATTCAGGTACCCGCTCCCCCCCCTCCCCAAAGGTCAGCAGTCATCTCCTGTACTGTGTCCGCAGTCTCTGGTCATCTCCTGTACTGTGTCCGCAGTCCCTGGTCATCTCCTGTACTGTGTCCGCAGTCCCTGGTCATCTCCTGTACTATGTCCGCAGTCCCTGGTCATCTCCTGTACTATGTCCGCAGTCCCTGGTCATCTCCTGTACTATGTCCGCAGTCCCTGGTCATCTCCTGTACTATGTCCGCAGTCCCTGGTCATCTCCTGTACTATGTCCGCAGTCCCTGGTCATCTCCTGTACTATGTCCGCAGTCCCTGGTCATCTCCTGTACTATGTCCACAGTCTCTGGTCATCTCCTGTATAATGTCTGCAGTCCATTGGTTTAGAATATTTTTTTGCAGCCTCTAAAACCTAGGTGCGTCTTATGGTCAGGTGCGTCTTATGGAGCGAAAAATACAGTATTTCCTAATTGTTTGTAAAATATAACAGCTAGTCCAAACATGGCATGCTTTAAAATTGCACATGCCCATGCAATGGCAACAAAGAACATATTTTTATTATCGATAGGTGACACTTTAAAAGCCTTTACAGTCACCAATTTATATTTACACAGGTCAATGCTAGAAAAACTGCCCCCAATCTGACGTTCATGGCAATATCTCACATGCATGGTCAACCAATGTTTACATACTGGCACGGAATCAACATTTGGGGGGCAAGGGTGTTTTTTTTTTTTCTTAGTTATTTTTATTTATTTTCTTATCACTTTTAATGCTATCATGGGGAATGCAAATATCCCCCTAAAACTTCAATGGGCATTGTCATATATTCTTTTTTGAGAAATCTGGGGTCTATCAGACTCTGGATATCTCCTCTGCCCTTACATTACCTAATCTCACCAAGATTGGTGTGATCAGATGCTTTCCCAATTCACAAATGGCACTTTTTATATCCTGCGAAACTGAAGTGATGAAATACTCATAGCTTCCGATTTCTTAGACTATAGAGATGATTGAAGCCATTCTGGTCTCTGACCAGCTCTATAGTCAGCCAGCGCTACTGCTGATTGCATTCTCCGATTCCCTGTGGGACAGGAGAGCCCAAGAAAACTGGAAAGCAGCAGCAGGGGGGGGGGGGGGGGGGGGGGGGCCCCTTCCCGCTGCTTGTAAAAACAATTCAGCAGCTAATTGGCCACTAGGATTGTTTTTACATGAAAGCCAGCCACCGGCTGAAAAAAAATGATACAAGGATGATACCTTTCAGACATCATACTGGTATAACCACTCACAGTCCAGCGGCGTACCAGTACATTGCTTGTCCGTGTTGGGCATATATGTAACAGTAGAGAACGCGGGCATACAATGAATCGGGTCTGTGGATCAACATGACCGCAATTCATTCTTTTCTGTAATGCCCATGTTGAGGGTTAGGCTCAACAGAGTTTTTAAATATAGAAACCGTGATTGGTTTCCATGCGAATTGTCTGGAAAGAGCTGAATTTGGGTGGGCGGCCATGTATTGTTGTGCATATAAATTGCCTTGGCCCACAATCAATTGATACAAATCTTCAGTGAAATGCCCTACCCATGCCCCCGTTCTTAGATGTCAATCACTGGGTCCCAGCCGAGTAATTACCTGCTGGCACCCAGTGATTACCGAGCATCTCGGACAGGGAGGAAGATTCGTTTTGTTTACAATCTTCCTCCCTGTAAGCTCAAACACGCTGCTCTGGATGGCTGTGCACAGTACAGCCATCCCGATCAGGGTGCTTACAGTGAAGAAAACCCGCCCCCTAGTAAAACACTCCCTGCACACAGTTAACCCTTTGATCACACCTCACGTTAACCCTTCCTGCCCAGTGCTATTAGTAGTGTCACTGCTTTTTTTTTTTCTTAGCACTGATTACTGCGTTGGTGTCAGTGACATCAAGTTAGTTCTACCCCAGTGTCAGAGTGTCTGCCACAGTCCCGCTAGAAGTCGCTGATCGCCACTATTACTAGTAGAAAAAAAAAAATCCCATTATCTATACCGCTATTTGTAAACGCTATAACTTTCACGTAAACCAATTAAATTTACACGTATTGGGACTTTTTTTTTTTTAGCAAAGACATGGAGAATACATTTTGGCCTAAATTTATGACAAAATTTGATTTTTAATGGACATGTTGAACCGCCTCCCGCCTGCCATATAAGGTAATGATGGGCACAAGGTGGCTCTCTCATTCTGGGAGGATGTCCTCGCGTGCGCGGGTCCAGAAGCGCGGCAATCGTCAGTCATGTGATCAGCTGTATCCAATCACAGCTGATCACATGTAATAGGGAAATGCCGGTTATCCGCATTTCTCTCCTCACGAGCTGTCATGTTGACAGCTCGAGAGGAGAGCCGGTAATCAGCATTCCTAGGAGGGGACATGGGCACTGATCATCAGCGTGGCCCCAGAAGTGCCAGCTGTCAGTGCTCATCAATGCCACCTGCCAGTGCCCATCAATGCCACATATCAGTGCCTACCAGTGCACATCAATGCCACATATCAGTGCCCATCTAAGCTTCCTTTCTTTGTCACCCATCAGTGCCACCTAACAGTGCCCATCTGTGCCTAATAGTGCCAGTCAGTGCCACCTATCAGTGCCATATATGAGTGATGCCTGTCGATGCCCATCAGTGGCACATACTAGTGCCTCCTCATCAGTGCAGCCTATCAGTGCCCATCACTGCAGCCTCATTAGCGCACATCAGTGAAGGAGAAAAATCACTTATTTACAAAATTTTATAACAAAAACTAAAGAAAAAGTTTTTAAAATTTTCAGTTGTTTTTGGTTTATTTAGCAAAAAATAAAAAACCCAGAGGTGAATACCACCAAAAGAAAGCTCTGTCTCCAAAAAATGATAAAAATGTCATATGGGTAGTGTTGCATGACTGCACAATTGTCATTCAAAGTGTGACAGTGCTGAAAGCTGGCCTGGGCAGGAAAGGGGTATAAGTGCCCTGTAGGCTAGTGATTAATAGCAAAAACTCCAAAATATTGTTTTTTTTTCTCAAAATTGTCGGTCTTTTTTTGCTTATAGGGCAAAAAAACAAAACGAAAAAAAAAAAAAAAAAAAACGCACATGCGATCAAATACCAAAAGAAAGCTCAATTTGTGGGGAAAAAAAATGACATAAACTTCATTTGGGTGCAGCATTGCATGACCGCATAATTGTCAAAGTAACGCAGCACCGTAACGCAAAAAAAATGGCCTCGTCATGAAGGGGGGATAAATCCTCAGGAGGGCAAGTGGTTAAGAATAAATATTATGGACTCTGTTTGTAAACTAAGCTACAGAATAGTTTGAAAGTGAATATTTTATTCATACATTCTATATAGTATTTTAAAAAATTTTCTTGTTTTAGGTAGTTTAATGTGTCATGTAGAGTACAGTGGGGAAAAATGTTTTGATCCCCTGCAGATTTTGTGACTTAGTACTTGGTGGAGAAACCCTTGTTGGTAAGCACAGAGGTAAGACGTTTCTTGTAGTTAGTTACCAGGTTTGCACACATCTCAGGTGAGATTATGGTCCACTCTTTACAGATCTTCTCTAAATCCTTAAAGCAGTAGTAAACTACATAAAAAAAAAAGCAAAAAACAAACTCCCTGCAAGGCAAAGGCATAATGTGCTAGTATGCATCACCGCTGACATCACTCCCACGCACAGGAGTCACAGGCCATGGCACACTGCCCTGAAGGAACAACACGTATATGCCATTCCTTCAGAGCGACTAATACTAAAAAACCCAAATATTTTGTAAAGGGTGCACATTTAGGAGCTATTCATTTTACCTACAGGTAAGCTTTATTACAAGGGAAAATAAAGAAAAAAAACAGACCAGGGGTAAAGGACCCAGAGGCCAAAGGGGGTCCAAATGAGTACAAACTGCATCCTTGAAAATGATAGACAAAAATAATTTAATTTGCAGTTAAAGTACAAATATCACAAAGACATGTATGGCATGGTAAGCTAAAATATACAAAAATTAGACAAAAAATTATCTCACCACCACCCAGGGGGAAAGAAAGTCAAGAGCAAAATGGCAAGATCAACCTGGACAGCACTAGGCATGCAAAAAGTCCCATCAGGATGTAATGAATAGTAGACCTGTGATGAATAGAATAGTCTCAACATTTGAACAAGACAATGAAAATGACAAGCAGATGGTGATATAGATAGCTCAAGAAGGTATGAGGAGTACCAAGGACAGGATTCATGTATAAATCACATAACCATGTAAACATACACAAAAAGTGCATAATAGATCTAGATAAACATGATCCTTGATGCAACTATCAAAAATAATTGGTATAATCCCTAGTGTCAGGGTAAAAAGCTGAAAGTCATTCCTCAGATATCAAGTGATGTATGAAATTATTAGATCTCTCATCAAGAATATGGGGTTAGGCTTATAATGCAAAATTATGCAGAATACATCTCCTCAATATTGCAAGAGTGGTTTAATGATGGAAGGAAAATTGGCAATATATGACATAATATGCCCAATATCCCAAAGGTCATTTAGACAGTCAATGATTGTCATGTATCATACAGATGACATAATAGCTTGGTGGAGCCCATAATATATAGATGTCTTGAATACTTGAAGCACACGGGGTTGTCAGGTGAAGACCCAGTTCAGTAAAAGTCCAAAAAAAAATGCAGATATGGTAGAGTGAAAAGCTTGTGTCAAACCTGTAACAGCTAATAGTCATCCACCGACCTGTAGCCCATGCAGGGATAGTTTCTGAAGTCAGTAGAGTTGAATCCTGTGTTAACAGGTGAAGATCCTCCCAATATAGGGAAAGCTATCAGCCACTGCTGGGTTAGATACCGGTTACCAGCCCCAAACGTGCCGTGATGATAGGCTTGTAATGCAAAATTATGTAGCATACATCTCTAAAATATATCAAGAGTGGTTAGATGATGGCAGGAAAAATGGAAATATGACATGATATGCCCAATATCCCAAAAATCTTTTGGCCAGTCAATGATTGTCATGTAAACATGTATCATGCAGATAGCATAATTGTTTGGTGGAGCCGGTGATATGCATAATATATAAATGCCTTAAATAATGAAGCACAGCGGATTGTCAGGTAGAGACCCAGTTCAGTAAAGGCCCACAGAAGATACAGGTATAATAAAGTGGAAAGCTTGTGTCAAACCTGTAGCAGCTGATAATCATCCACAGACCTATAGTCCATGCAGGGATAGTTGCTGAAGTCAATGAAGTTGAACCCTGTGTGTTAGCAAGTGAGGATCCTCCCAATGTAGGGAAAGCTTATCAGCCACTGCTGGGTCAGACTCCTGTTGACAGTCCAAAACATACCATGATAGGCAAAGATTGATATATGACATACCGCATATAGTGGTGCAATATAGTGGCTAAAAATGGTGGCCGTGCATGCTGCAAGGAAAGCTGTGGATTCACAAAGAAAATGTGTGTCAGGTCCTGCAATCTGACTGAGCAGCTCCGCGGGACTGCGCATGTGCCAGCGTGTCCAGGAGGTGACGTTGACATGTTTCGCCCACTATGTCACATGTAATATTGAGATGTATTCTACATAATTTTGCATTATAAGCCTAACCCCATATTCTTGATGAGAGATCTGTAATAATTTCATCCATCACTTGATATCTGAGGAATGACTTTGTTTTTTACCAATACTAGGGATTATACCAATTATTTTTGATGGTTGCATCAAGGATCATGTTTATCTAGATCTATTATTATGCACTTTTCATGTATGTTTACATGGTTATGTGATTTATACACGAATCCTGTCCTTGGTACTCACCATACCTTCTTGAGCTATCTATATCACCATCTGCTTGTCTTGTTCAAATGTTGAGACTATTCTATTCATCACAGGTCTACTATTCAGTACATCCTTATGGGACTTTTTGCATGCCTAGTGCTGTCCAGGTTGATCTTGCCATTTTGCGCTTGACTTTCTTTCCCCCTGAGTGGTGGTGAGGTAATTTCTTGTGTAATTTTTGTATATTTTGGCTTACCATGCCATACATGTCTTTGTGATATTTGTACTTTAACTGCAAATTAAATTATTTTTGTCTATCATTTTCAAGGCTGCAGTTTGTCCTCATTTGGACCTCCTTGGGCCTCTGGGTCCTTTACCGCCTGGTCTGTTTTTTCCTTTATTTTCCCATTAGGGTCCCGAGGACACCACATACATATATCTATGAGTCAGCTCTATTTATAACTGGGTCACTATCTTTATTTGGTAATTTCTGACCCTGAGCTTTGGGAATCCTGGTGTGTTCTATTTTTTATTTAAGCTTTATTACAAGATTACCTGCAAGTAAAAATGAACAAAGTAGGTTCTTGGCTGTTGCTTGGCAACTCAAAGTTTGAGCTCCATCCAAACATTTTCTATAGGATTAAGGTCTGGAGACTGACTAGGCCACTCCATGACCTTAATGTGCTTCTTCTTGAGCCACTCCTTTGTTACCTTGGCAGTATATTTTTGGTCATTATCATGCTGGAAGACCCATCCATGACTCATCTTCAGTGTTCTGGCCGAGGGAAGAAGGTTCTCATCTAAGATTTTACAATACATGGCCCCATCCAATGGCCCCTCAATGCAGCAAAGTCAGCCTGTACCTTTAGCAGAGAAACAGCCCCAAGCATAATGTTTACACATCCATGCTTG